GTTGGACTCAGTTACGATGAGTTGTGCATCCACCCAGATTTGAACCTTCCCGAAGGATTCAAAATTCAGAAGTTTGACACCTTCGGAGAGGTATGAAACTCCATGGCGCATCTGAGAGCGCATTGTGACATGCTCGTGGGAGTTGGCAGGGATGAGGCCTTGTTGATGCGGCTTTTCAGCCGAAGTCTATGTGGGGAGGCCCTCGAGTGTTTTACTTCACACGAAACAAGGCAGTGGCCCAGTTGGAATGCGTTGGCTAAAGACTTCATTGACCGATTTGCCTACAATGTCGAAATAGTTCCCGATCGGTATTCTTTAGAGAAGATGAAACAGAAACCAACTGAAATCTATAGGAAATTTGCCTATATATGGAGGAAAAAAGTAGGAAGGGTAAGGCCGCCCATGAACGAGAAAGAGATTGTGGAAGTGTTTGTGCGGGTGCAGGAGCCAGAGTACTATGACAGAATCATGTTGCTAGTCGGAGCTAAATTCGCCGAGATAGTCAATGTTGGTGAGACTATCGAAGATGGTTTTAAATTAGGGAAGATAGCCCGTGTATCCACGTGACCTGGGTCTTCATGATTGATAAGGAAGAGAAGAGAGAAAGTTGTCGCTGTCTCGTATGGGGGAAGAAAAACTCCCAAAAACTCGTCGCGTTCCCAAGATCATTCCAGGCCTTCACCAAAGTCTCACCAAGCCTACTACCGAAATGCAATCATCCCAACAACCACAATACTGCCCCCACCTATCCAAATGATCAAATTTTGTCGTACCAAAGTCCACCCCCAAATCTCCAAAATTTTCCCCCATGTACCCAAATTACCCTCAACCTTACCAAATTCCAACTCCCTATAAGAATATTGCTCCCAACTGTGCCAATGTACAGTCGAGCTACCGATCGCCCTAGCCCATTTATCAAGTCCAAGCTCCAATTTATCAAAACCCCCTCCCGAACTACCAAGCTCCAGTGCCAAATTATCAAACAAACCCTTATCCAAGAAACCAAGCTCCTCGTCCGAATACCTTAAATTATCAGCAGGTGCCTCCCTCTCAGCAAAGCGGTTATGATCCTTCCCGTCTGAGATTTGAAAAAAGGCCTTCAAGGAACTTTACCGCACTTGCTGAAAGTCGGACCAAACTATTTGAGAGACTAGCCGCAGATGGATACATCCACCCTATGGGGCCAAAGGCCGTGGATGTCAACTCAAAGTTCTACAAGCCAGATTAAAGACGTGCTTATCATTCCAATGGTGTTGGACATGACACGGAAGATTGCATCAACCTTAAGCTCAAAATCCAAGACCTGATCAATCAGGAGGTAGTTTCTCTTCAACTGGCGGCGCCAAATGTCAATACAAATCCATTGCCGACTCATTGAGGTGGCAACGTTAATATGATTGAAATGGATGAAGATGAGTGTGGAACAAAGATGATTACTCCTATTGTGAATGAGGACTTGGAAAGGGCTACCACTTCTTTAAGCGTCAAGGAAAGGAGAGAGTTTGTTATTCTGACACCTGCAAAGGTTGTTGCCTTCGTGCCTTCGGAAACTCTCGTCAAGCCCAAATTTGTCATTGAAACTATTGTAGCCCAAGGCATGACCAGGTTCGGAAGGTGCTACATTCCTGATAAGCTTGCCCTCGGAGGACAGAACAAGGACCATGCTAAGAGGCCGATAAACATAGGGGAAGCAGAAGAGTTCTGGAGAGGGATGCAACCGAAGAACTATTCCATTTTCAAACATTTAGAGAAGAATCTGGCTCAAATCTCCCATGTGGACCCTACTGATGAGCTCTCAGTCCCATAGGCAGGCCTTAATCAAAGCTTTTGATGATACATACGTACTCTCAGGTACAAGTAGTGATGACGATGAGTTGCCAGTCGAAGGAAGATCACACAACAAAGCGCTGCACATTACCGTGATATGCCGTGACAAGGTTGTCAACCGTGTTTTGGTAGATTATGGATCCAGTTTGAATATCTGCCCATTGTCAACGTTGAGGCAACTAAATTTTGACCTTGAGAAAATGGAGCAGATTCAGGTCAATGTAAGAGTGTTTGATGGTGTTCAAAGAGACACATTAGGGGCAGTGAATTTGAACCTTCAAAGGGGCCCCGCGGAGTTCAGCACGTAATTCCAAGTATTGGACATAGACACCAGTTACTTACAACCTTCTTTTGGGAAGGTAGTTTATCCACATGGCTGGAGCCGTCCCCTCTACTCTCCATCAAATGATGAAGCTTGTATGAAAAAATGAAGAGTTAGTTATTCACGGCGAGGGAAGTCACTCGGCAAGCAGGTGTCGGTCATTGATGAGATGTCGTAAGGTGCAGACTTTTACACGGTGGAGCTGGTGAATGCAACCGATGAATATTTGGCCCCACAGACCCCCATGCTAGTCGTATACAAAATGATAGCCACGGTGATGCTGCACAATGGTTTCGAGCCAGGTTTCGGATTGGGAAGAGATTCCCAAGGAATTATTGAGCCTGTTCCGGTCCTTGTTAAGGGATCCAGATATGGTTTGGGGTACATCCCCACAGATGACGACGTGAAGATGAAGAAGAAAAGGGATAAAGAGTTGGCTAAGCTGACCCCGCATCAGTATCAATCCTTTCCAATTCGGCAGTATGCCGAGCCTGAAGACTTTGGGGAAGGAATATGTGACCTCTTCGAAGAGATCAATGTTGTTGTCGAGGATGAGGTCGAGTTAGCTGGTGTTCGTGATGCTATACCAGGGGAGGTGTTGCAGAACTGGACTTCCAAGCCGATCCTGATGTCCTGAACTCTTCGGTAGAAAGGAGTTATTTTATGCACACTAAAATTGGTGGTTGTCCGAAGGAGGTCCGAGACCCACCATTTCTGTATTTTTCTCAACTGTTCAATTTTTGAATTTCCGTTGTGATGTTAAAAAAGGCAACATGGCCGCCATGCCATTGCCAAAGTTTGCGTTGTTTTAAATGAAAGCCTCTTTATTTTTAACTTTATTTATTTAGCTATTTTTTATACTTTACTTTCGTAATTTTGTATGTTTATGATTTCAGTAACATAAGTTATCGACCCTCTAAACTCATGTCATGTCACGAGCTAAATAACCAAAATGAGTCGAATGATGACAAGGTTGATGATTGTGAAGAAGAAAGTGGGGAACTAGATTGCGTCGCTGAGGAATTTATACAGTTCGAGAATCAGCATAAACCAAACCTAGAGGAAACAAAAACAGTGAATTCGGGAGATTCAAAATGTGTCCAAGAGGTTAATATCAGCACTCACCTAAATGATATCCAGAAGGAGAGCCTGGTTCATTTGCTTTCCGAATATAGTGATGTATTTATTTGGGAAGTCGGTGATATGAAAGGGTTGAGTACCGATGTCGTATGTCATAAGCTACCGATCAACCCAGGGTTCAAGCCGGTGAAGCAAAAAACTCAAAAATTCAAGCATGACCTGAGTTTGAAGATTAAGGAAGAAATCACCAAGCAAATAGAGTCCCGATTGGTGGAAGTTACACAATACCCAACCTGGTTGGCCAACGTTGTTCCGATCGCCAAGAAAGATGGGAAAATAAGGATTTGTGTTGACTATAGAGATCTCAACAAGGCTAGCACGAAGGATAATTTTCCATTGCCAAATATTCATATTTTGATTGACAACTGTGCAAAAATTGATATGCGGTCATTTGTGGACTGTTACGTAAGTTATCACCAAATTTTAAATGGATGAAGAAGACGCAGAAAAATGACTTTCATTACACCTTAGGGTGTATATCACTACAGGGTGATGTCGTTCAGCCTCAAGAACGCCGGTGCAACCTAAATGAGAGCCATGACGACTATTTTCCACGGCATGATTCATAAGGAGATTGAAGTGTACATGGATGACGTCATAATCAAATCCCGTAAGAGTTCGGATCACTTGACACACCTGAGAAAATTCTTTGAACACTTGCGTCGCTATAACTTGAATTTAAATCCCGCCAAATGCGCTTTTGGAGTCCCAGCTGGGAAGTTGTTGGGATTTATAGTCTGCAGAAGGGGTATTGAGCTTGACCCCTCCAAGATTAAAGAAATTAAAGAGTTACCTCCGCCGAAAATGAGAAAAGAGGTGATGAGTTTCTTAGGGAGGTTAAACTATATCAGCCGGTTTATAGCACAATCAACACTGGTGTGTGAGCCTATTTCAAGTTGTTGAAGAACGACGCCTCGACTAAGTGGATTGAGGAGTGTCAAACTGCTTTCGATGCTATCAAGAGCTACTTGTCTAACCCACCGGCGTTGGTTCCTCCGCGAGAAGGGAGTCCTTTGTTACTGTATTTGTCTGTTTTAGACAGCGCATTCGGATGTGTACTCGGTCAACACGATGAGACAGGAAAGAATGAAAAGGATATTTACAATATAAGCAATAAGTTTACTCCGTAGGAGTCTCATTACACTTTGCTGGAGATAACGTGCTCTACTCTGACGTGGCTTGCCCAGAAATGGAGACACTATTTGTCTTCGTATACTACATATCTCATTTCCAGAATGGATCCGCTGAAGTACATTTTCCAGAAAGCGATGCCGACCGGAAAGTTGGCTAAATGGCAAATGCTGTTGAGTGAGTTTGATATCGTGTATGTGACTCAGAAGGTAATAAAGGCACAAGCTTTGGCAGATCATCTTGCAGAAAATCCAGTTGATGATGAATACGAACCACTCAAGACTTATTTTCACGATGAAGAAGTGTCATTTGTGGGTGATGACATTTCTGAAGCATACCCAGGTTGGAGATTATTATTTGACGGAGCAACAAATCATCAAGGTAAAGGTATCAAAGCAGTCTTAGTGTCAGAATCTGGTCAACACTATCCCATATCAGCTAAGCTCCGATTTAATTGCACCAACAACATGGCCGAATATGAAGCTTGTATTCTTGGTTTGAAGATGGACATTGACATGAATGTTTAGGAGTTATTGGTCATTGGGGATTCAAACCTTTTCATTCGTCAGGTTCAAGGTGAATGGGCTCTGAAGAACCCAAAGATTATACCTTACGTACAGTATGTGCAGAAGCTGTGCAAAAGGTTTTGCAAGATCGAGTTCAGACATACTCCCAGAATACAGATTACATCGACCCGCTGGTTATAGAGTTGAAAGAACATCTAGTCCATTGTTCACATGTTGAATCAGAACCAGATGATTTGCCTTGGTATTTTGACCTATAGAGGTACTTGGAGTGTGGGACTTATCCTGAAGATGCTACGACCAATCAGAAGAAGTCGATACGCCGTATGGCTCTCAATTTCTTCCTAAGTGGAGAAGTCCTATATAAGAGAACTCAAGATTTGGGTCTTCTAAGATGTGTGGATGTTGTTGAAGCTGTGAGGCTTATTGAACAAATATACATGTCAGAATTTGTGGTACACATATGAATGGGCTCACTTTGGCAAGAAAGATTCTACGAGCCGGGTATTTGTAGATGACTATGGAGAATGACTGTTTCAAATTTGTGTAAAAATGCCACAGATGTCAAGTGCACGGTGATTTGATACGAGTGCCACCTCACAAGCTTAATGTTATGAGCTCACCTTGGCCATTTGTAGCTTGGGGAATGGATGTCACTGGTCCTATAGAGCAAGCCGCTTCTAATGGACAGAGATTCATCTTGGTTGCCATTGATTATTTCACCAAGTGGGTGGAAGCAGCTTCTTATAAGTCGGTAACCAAGAAAGTGGTGGCTGATTTTGTTCGCAACAATCTGATATGCAGATTTGGAGTGCCAGAATCCATCATTACTAATAACGGTGCAAATCTCAACAGTCACTTGATGAGAGAGACATGTGAGCAATTTAAGGTCACTCATCGGAATTCAACTGCTTATCGTCCCCAAATGAACGGAGCTGTAGAGGCCACCAACAAGAATATTAAAAAGATTCTGAGGAAAATGATCGACAAACATCAAGGTTGGCATGAAATGTTTCTATACGATTTACTGGGTTATCGAACGACGGTCAGAACATTGACTGGTGCTACTCCATACTTGCTAGTTTATGGAACAGAAGCAGTTATACCTGCTGAAGTTGAGATACCGTACTTGAGAATCATCCAAGAAGCTGAAGTGAGTAACGCTGAATGGGTTATCAAACGGATTGACCAACTAACTTTGATTGATGAGAAGAGAATGCTTGCAGTCTGCCATGGCCAGTTATATAGACAGAGAATGACTCGTGCCTTTCACAAGAGAGTAAGAGCCAGAAATTTTGAAGTTGGCCAGTTGGTTCTTAAGCGTATTTTCCCTCATCAAGACGAGTACAAAGGAAAGTTTGCACCAAACTGGCAAGGTCCTAACATGGTTCGTAAATTATTATCTGGAGGTGCTTTGGTCCCGTCAGAGATGGATGGCAGTGTATGGCCTAAACCTATTAACTCAGATGCTGTCAATAGATACTACACGTGAAGCTTCATTTTTCATTTCTGTTATTTACTTGTAATCGTTCTGTTGCTTGAATTGGTTTCTCTTAAATTCTTATCCCTCTTGTAATGAACTACGTCTGACCTGAATTCTCGAGAACGAGATACGTAGGCGGCCTATGTCGGCTTCGGTCACCCCATTTATGCCCTTTAATTATTGCTTTGTATCTGAACTACGTTCAACATGAATTCTCAAGAATGAGATACGTAGGCGGCCTTTGTTGGCCTCGGTCGGTTTCGTTGTAAATTTTATTCTTGTTAAACTTTAAGGGGAACTACGTTTGACTTGATTCCTACCTCAACGGGATACGTAGGCACCACAAGGGTTCGGTCATATCTCCCGCAAGATTTCTATTCCCTTTTACAATAGAACAGGGACATAATTTTTGAGAGGAACTAAAAAATTCTCCAGAAGAAGTTTCCTCTTCAGCAAGTCAAACTAAATATATTTCGAAATCTGCAACTGGGACAAAATTTTTGAGAAGGTCTGGAAAATTCCGCGACCTGTTCATTTACAGTGGAAAGATAAGCAAGACAGTTAATTGGGACAGAAATTTTGAGGATGGCCTCAAAATTTCATTATGGGTTTTACTTATAAGTCCAAAGTGACTCTGAAGACTCACCGGCAAATGATCAGATAGATCTCTAAGATTCAGACACAAAGAAGTTTGTTATGCATGATATGACATGATTTGGCAGTGACCTTTTCAAGATACTATTTCTTAAAATTTATTTCTCTTAAATTTTCCTTTTTCTGTTTCATTTGTTTTGGCATAAAATATTTTGTTTTATCTACCAAGAGTCGGGAGACCGGGAAATCAACCAGAGATAGCAAGACAAGGAGCAAACAACTGAAGAAACGACATAGATCAGTACGATTCTTAAAACTAACAATTTTTCTGTGGAAGCAGGTTTATAGCTTTGCTTTGAAATCGGCAAATTCTTTTCGATGAATGAACAGGGAGAACTCCAAAGAGGAGAAATTATCCCAAAATCAATGGCTTGCCTAGAAGCAAAAGGCATTTTCTATCACTTATGTTGAAGACCTGGAAATATGAATTGTTTATTTCAATCAAATTCCAACAATATGAAATTTACAAAGAAAATATAGCCATATTCAAAGGTGAATCAAACAGGAATTTCAAAGAAGAGTTTACGATTTTCATAAAGGACGCTATCAGCATCGCATTATCAAACAAGATAGCTATTGTCGATCAGGACAATGTATTACCCAGAGGAGACAGTTATTTTATTATTATTTTATTATCGATCAAGGCGATATATTATCTGGAGGTCGTCATGTCGTTATCATCAACAGAGATGAGATGAATATTCATGCATTGCGAGTTAAAAATCATGCATCGCGGAAATCATGCATTGCAGAAAATCATGCATCGTAGAAATCATGCATCGCGGAAAATCATGCATCTTGGAAAATCATGCATTGAGGAAAATCATGCATCACAAAAATCATGCATAACGAGAAGTTTCATGCCTCGTCAAATTTATACATCGCGAGAAAGTTTCATACCTCGCTGAAATTTAGACATCGCGAGAAGACTTCATGCCTCGCTGGAATTTATGCATCACGAGAAGAATTCATCCCTCGTTGAAAATCATGCATCGAAAAAATCATGCATTGCTGAAAATCATGCATCGCGAGTCAATAATTGTGCGCCACGAAAAGATTTCATGCCTCATCAAATTTATACATTGCGAGAAGATTTGATACCTCGCTGGAATTTATGCATCGCGAGAAGACTTCATATCTCACTGGAATTTATGCATCACTAGAAGAATCCATGCCTCGTTGAAATTTATGCATCACGAGAAGATTTCGTGCCTCACCGAAAGTTATGCATTGCGACAAGATATCATACCTTGCAGGAATTTACGAATCGCGGGAGAAGACATTCATGCTCCTCAAGAAGACTTGCATGGATAAAGAAATGGAAATTGTGTATCCCAAGAGGATATTTACAAATCGGCCTCAGTAGAATTCTTTATTTTTGATAAAAGCAAACATCAAGAAAAGTATCAAAGATGACGGCTAAAGAAATATCGATATCGCATCAGCATTTATTTATTTATTTCGATATCAAGTATAGATTACATCGAAGATTATACTAAAAACACAAGTCATAAGCTTTATTTGTTGTATGTCGGACTGATCAAGTCGACGTCGAATATTGAGGAGAACAATGAAGTGTCGACATGGTAAAAAGACACTGTCTCCCATCCTAATTGCATTTTGAAGGTGACAAGTTTGATCTCAGTCTTTGTCGAGAGCATCCAAAAGGATGAATTCTCCAAAAACCACAGGTGCGGACGACATAAAAAAGGATGCAGCACAACGTGGAACTTTTCCTTAGCAGCGAACTGAGACACAGTCCGAAGAGGAACGTCAAGCTCTTAGGATACGAGCAGGGGAGAAACTTACACCACAATGGAACCACTCCCATCGAAAGACATGTGGTTATTTCTTTAGGTCTGTCAGTTCCAGTTTCGCATACGAAAATTTCAGAATATGTCAGAAGCAAGTTTTAAATCTGTGTGACAATGCGCCAAGAGCTTTGGAAATTATGTCTGTGTAAGCTCTTAATTATTGGTGTGAAGCGCGCCACATTCATGGCTAAGAGGTTGCAAGCCTCATTTTCATACTCGTTTAATTTGTCACTTGTCAAAAACCGAAGGTTATCTAGCATGATAGATTTCCTTTTCAAACGATCGAGTCGAACTGTACACAGCCTGTTTCCTGAAGGGTTTAAGGATAGGCAGGAGGTTTCAATGTTGAAAACTCGACTGTATTCCAACATTCGCTCTCCAACTTTATTCTCGACCATTTCGATACTTTTATAATTCGGTATCGAGGTGGATTTTGAATTCTTTCAAAGTCGTGCGTTAAATCAAGCTTATCGAACTACAAGTGGCCTGAATTCTCATATAGCCTGAGATATGTAGGAAACCCGTTTTAAGGGTTCGGCCATAATTTCTAAACCCTTTTCCAAATTCTTCCTTTAAAGATGATTGGGGTTGGTCAAAATTGGTTTGCTCAATTTCATTTTCCTCGAATAGCTTGTATCAATCCAAGTAAAATGAGGGACAATTTTTGACACCCAAATTTTGACCCTCCTCAATGATAATTTACTAGCAAGCTTCTCGAGTTTAAACAATTGTTAAAATAATTAATTTTATAAATAAGTATATAAATAAAATAAAGTAATGGTAATAAATAATTTTAGGTTACGAGTAATTTAAAATGAGGTTTTGACGCTTTATTTTGTTTTAGATAGCGTATATGTCTTACGTGATTATCGCTTATCTTTTTAAATTATATTTTTCAAAATCAAAAAATAATAAGAGTAATAGTATATATTTTATCTTATATAATTATCGGGTTAGCTATTTAGATATAACAATGTTTTTTGTTTAGCCAGCTATTTCATAATCAAGTTAATTATTTTACTTTTTTACCTTAAGAAGCTTGTCGTTTTCTTTTAATTAATTCATCTTGTTAGAACTTTAGCTTAATTAGCGAATCAACTCTTTAAGATGAATTGATTTCCCTTCCAAGCCCACTTTCTTTATCACCAAAATTGGGCCTTTTTGTCAGCAGCCCACTATTCAATTCCATTCGAGCCCATTTTCTTTTTTACATTTAATCCATTCCCTCCAAACTCTTAAAAAACATCGATTTGGGCCTATTTATTTTTCCGATTCCCCTTTTAATTTCCATTCAGTCCATTCCTTTTCTTCCAGCCCATTCCTCCAAATCGGCCCACCAAATTTAATCCCTAACCAAATCCCCTTTTCCCATTTCCCTTCGACCCGACCCGACTCAAATTTTCCTCATCTTCACGTGCAATCCCAGGCAGCGTGAAAGAAGAGCACACTGTTCTTCCTATTCACGTAGAAACTTCATGAAATTTCACAACGCATTAGCCATTTCTCGCGCATGTCTGGCCTTACCCTCACTCTTCGCGCGAGTCCCTCTTCTCTGCAAGTCGTACGAGGGCATTGGAGGACAGGCCCAGTTGGAGAAATCTCCTTTCTCCATTGTCCTTTGCTTGCAAATTCGATGGTTGCGATCGATTGTTCTCTTGAAGGATTGTACTCGTTTAGCTGGCGTCCTTATCCTTTTGGTGAAGAGAGGATTTCGAATTCAAAAGGGGACATGGAATCACGAATTTGCCCCAAACCTTCTTTCGTTTTCCCCCCGCTCTCCACCCTTGAGAAATGGCTATATATATTGCCATTTCCCCACTGTTTCTGGAGGGTTTTTTTGGGGAGAACAAGAAATTTTCTTTACGTCTAAGTTATAAAAAATATATACTAATCTTACACCGTATTCACCAATCGATCGAAATACGTAGAAACAAGCTCCAAACGATAAGAATTTGGGAGCTTTAGCTTAGAAGTTTATCTCCTCTGTTCGTGGTGTTGTGGTCGGAGAGCTCGTCTTGTTCGTTGCCGTCTGGTTCGCTGCTTGTAAGAAGGTAATACTTCCTTTTACTTATGTCTTGTTTCGGTGTTGAATGCGATAAGATGAATGTTGTTGGTTCTTCTGTTTTGTCTCTGTTTTGGTTTACTCGTTTCGATTTCTATACTCTTCTTCGAATGATTGTTTGGTGTGATTGATTCATTGTTGATTATGATGGATATGCCTCAACCGTATTTAAGCTCCATTTGAAACTGCCTGCAGGCAGATTTTACTTTAATCATGTTGTGTTTCTAGTTTAGCGTAGATATGTGCAGCGTTGTGATTTTCTCCTATGAGTTAACATGGCTTCATGGTTGTGTCTTGTATTCTTTGTCATATGAACTTGAGTTCTTGAGCTGTCAAGATATCAGTTTTTTTTCTTTTCTGTTTTCATTTTCTTTTTCCTTTGCTCCTTCCTAAAATTTCTCTTGTTATTTCTTAACGAAACGATCCCCGCTTCGTTTGGTGATTTGTCTTCTTTGCAAAAATGTGTCTTTGGCTTCGAA